TTCTTTTTTCCTGCTGCTGTGGCAACAATACAGTAACAGGTCTCTCTACACAGGACTCTGTGTTTGCCTGGCAACCAAACTTTCTGAAGCCAGACTGGATTTGACCATAACATTTTTTGCCACTGTAATTAAATTCAAAGATGTGGATTTTTTTTAAATAGATTTTCCTAGACTCATTTTTAAACTAGAGAAGCACTTGGATTGTCGTTTGCAACTTCTGTTCGATTATATTAATCTAGATCAATCATTACTAAATCAATCAGTCTGAACACCTTTGATCGGCTACATTCCCTAGTAGGAATGTTTGGCCTGAGGCTTGGTCCGGTTGGATACTGAGGTGCTTGGACCCTTGTTTTCCAGGTGGAGGGTGGAGAACAGGGTACCTTTTGGGGTCACTCCTTTACATAGGAATTTGGAGAAGAGATCATAACCAGGATGGGTCCTCTCATGCCGGGGATGGGCTATGCCCAATTTTATTGAAAACCTGAGTCAGTGTCATTTATAACATTGCAAGAAATACATATGTAGGGCATCATTGTAGGCACTTTAGGTGGGTCAGCCTTTCTGGCTTTGACTCTAATGCTCATGCCCACCTATGGTTGTTTAAATGCATTTAGACACTTATTGTTTAGGGTTGGAAAATTTAAAAACAAAATTGAAGAATATGAATGGTCTTTATAATCTCTTCCCTCCATTAAGGACATTTCATCACAGCGCTGTGTGTCCCGAGCCCGTAATATCATCAAAGACCCCTCACACCCCCACCATGGACTGTTCTCCCTGCTGCCCTCTGGAAAGAGGTTCCGCAGCATCCGCTGCAGATCCACCAGGTTGTGCAACAGCTTCTTCCCCACTGCCATCAGACTGTTGAACCTTTGATCCACAATCCGAACTCTGCACCTATTGCACATTATCGGGCATCAAATGCTGCTGAACTTTTAACTTTTAGCCCTTTAAATTGTTCATCTCATTGTATTTTTCAATAACGCATTTTTTGCACAAATGCCATTTTGCACTGAACCACTGCAACTTGCACACTGTCTCTTATCCTCTGCACTGTTCACACTTTGACCACTGCTGCACTTTTTGTATTTTTCTATAACTCGTGCCATTGTGAAATATCAATGCAACGTTCATAAGCTGTATGTAACGCAATTTCGTTCTGTATGCACCCTGTGCATACAAAATGACAAATAAAGAAGTCTAAGTCTAAGAAGTCTAAAAGTAGGTCACATTTGTCTTTAAGTGACAATTTAAATGTTAAGCTTAAATGCTCTGTAGAGGCTGTTCTCCTCATGTTCTAATCCAGCATGTGGGCTGATTATTACCATTACAATGGGCATTCATGTTTAGGGACCTCAAATGGTACCTTGTCAGAGCAGCTTTTAGAGAACAAGTTGATCTCAGTTTGATGTCAAAAATACTATAGGTTCCCAGAAACACAAGATCAGCCTGCTGTTTCCCTCAACGTTTTTTTGTTTTTGTTATTCAAGGAGCTGTTGCAACATGCTCTGAAAAAATGCTGATATTTCTCAAACTGTCATTTTTTTAAATGAAATCTGTCACTCACCAAACATAAGTCAAAGCTTATTTAACTGAACATGTGAAAGGTGCAGGGTGTAACAGCCTAACAAAACAGAACATTGTTGTGAATGATTCATAATATTACATAAGGTCACAGCCAATAGGGTGTCACTAACATTTAGTAACACAATAAGCTTGTGCTAGCATGTAGTGTAAGGGTGTGTTGCTCAGCTGCTGCTTAAAACCTGTCCAAAAAAATAACAGTACTTAATACACTTTGGAAAAGCTTGTCAGCTCTATTTAGTTTTATAATAATTTGTTTCATCTGATTTTGAGAACTTTAATTTTCTCTTACCTGTCTTACATTGAAATCATAAAAAGATATTCTTTACTGATAATGTATGATTAAATATACATACCATTTTTTTTTTTTTTTTTTTTATGATAACTTGTCTGGATAAATCAAAATCTCTTCAGCAGTTAAAACAAAACAAGGGTGGGTGGTGACTACGGTTGATTTGATTTTGAGATTTTCCTTTTCAATCTTCTCAAAACAATCTGCAAATTTCTCTCTGAGGGCTGATTGATTTGTTCTATGAAATTTTGTTGTACGTCTTCTGTATGTATAATGGCACATCTTTAACAATAGATCACAAACCAATAGTTAGGTTTGTGATAGTTAGGTCTTGTTGTTAGGTTTGCCGTGTAGATAAAAGAATACAATTAACAAGTCACTGTGTGCTCTAGTATGTGATTGCTTGGGCTTAATCGCAATCACCGCAGTTAAAAGTCTTGTTTGCTGGCTGCATTTGATGTCAAGGAGAATGCACAGTTTAAATGCTAGGTTAAGGAACATTTGCATTATCCTTCCTCTAGAGCAAAATATCCACACTTATTTTTAAGTCCTGAACTTTAACATGATTTAATCAAAGTTTAGCAGAAAAATGGTACAGTTACAGAGCTGTGGCTCATGTTTTCCTGTGTGTCAACAGAATGACAATGAGATTGGAAAACATTGTACTTCAATGTACTATGTGTCTGCCAGGTGGGCAGTTATCTGTCCTCTGTCATCATTTAACACACCTATCTTATCAAAAAACTCAGCCTCAGTTCCCTGCTGCAACTTTTACCTCTGAATAAGAACATGCATTTCCTTTATTAGCCTGGCCCTTGACAAAACTAACTTTATTATTTATTATCAATCTGGGCTATTATATCTACTTAGGTTACTCTGTATCTTCCTATTCTCCTACACCTAACAAATGGAATTGCGTCTTATACTATTACATAGGAATTAAATTTTATATAGGAACAACTATAATTTTTTGAGAAGTTTATAGATCTATTATGCCTAACAAAGTATAAAGTTGTAGAGTTTAAGAATACTTTGAATGAATGATAAAAAATATAAATATAACGAATATCCTACTTTTTTTAAAAAGCGGCCAACAACTTTATTTATTACCAACATTTTAAGTTGTTCATTTAATGTTCTTACCTATGTTGGTATATGTCGAATAATATATTTTTCAGATATTATAGAGGGGCAGAGTTTTTGCTTTTTTGGATGAGTTTTTTTCATCTGTTCATTACCTTCATGGACAGAATTTCTAGGCGCAGCCAAGGTGTTGAGGGGATCCGTTTTGGTGGCCTTAGGATTGCGTCTCTGCTTTTTGCAGATGATGTGGTCCTATTGGCTTCATCAGGTCGTGATCTGCAGCTCTCGCTGGATCGGTTCGCAGCCGAGTGTGAAGCGGCCGGGATGGGGATCGGTGCCTCCAAATCCAAGGCCATGGTCTTGAGCCGGAAAAGGGTAGAGTGCCTTCTCCGGGTCAGGGGGGGTGTCCTGCCCCAAGTGGAGGAGTTTAAGTATCTTGCGATCTTGTTCACGAATGAGGGAAGAAGGGAGCGGGAGGTCGACAGGCGGATTGGTGCAGCGTCTGCCGTGAAGCGGGCGCTGTACCGGTCCGTCGTGGTGAAGAGAGAGCTGAGTCAAAAAGCGAAGCTCTCGATTTACCGGTCGATCTACGTTCCTACCCTCATCTATGGTCATGAACTCTGGGTCATGACCGAAAGAACGAGATCGCGGATACAAGCGGCCGAAATGGGTTTCCTCCGTAGGGTGGCTGGGCTCTCCCTTAGAGATAGGGTGAGAAGCTCGGTCATCCGGGAGGGACTCGGAGTAGAGCCGCTGCTCCTCCACGTCGAGAGGAGCCAGTTGAGGTGGCTTGGGCATCTGTTTAGGATGCCTCCTGGACGCCTCCCTGGTGAGGTGTTCCGGGCATGTCCCACCGGGGGGAGGCCCCGGGGAAGACCCAGGACACGCTGGAGAGACTATGTTTCTCGGCTGGCCTGGGAACGCCTTGGGGTTCCTCCTGAAGAGCTGGAAGAAGTGGCTGGGGAGAAGGAAGTCTGGGCCTCCCTTCTTAAGCTGCTGCCCCCGCGACCCGACCCCGGATAAGCAGAGGAAGATGGATGGATGGATGGATGGATGAGTTTTTTTTTTATCTATTTAATTTTATTCTTTGTAGCAACTAATTTCCTTGCTTCCTAGTTTTTACCACATACCATACATGTACTGCAACATGCCAGCTGTTTTTTGCATTATTTCCCAAACACTCCTTAGGCATGTAAAGTGTACTAAAATGTTTTGTTGTGGAGAATACTCACTGCCAAGTGTGTGAGTCAGTGTCTGGTGTCAGTTGCAAGGACATTTGTCACCAATCTTAATCAATAATTCCTTCTCTATTCCTCCTGTTTACCTCGTGGTATGTTTTACAAGATATAGCTCCCATCTGAATCTCAGTTATTACAGCTGGTCCTACTAATGGTACCAGTGTCTTTGCAGAATGATGTGTAAAAACTGCAGCGTCAACTAAAAGAATGTCTGTGATTCCATGCATTCAATAGTTTGGATTAAGTTTTCTTCTACCTCTTGGGGTGCAACAGATTCCCTATGATGTGACCAACATAAATCTGTATTTTATTCAAATAGAGTGCTTGCATAAATGAAAGTTTTGGTGTTTTTTTTGTTTTGTTTGAGCAAATGCTTCTTTGAAAAGATGGTTGGGAATATATGGAGCACACGATCCTACCACCTCGGGGCTTTGTTGTCATGAAACACCCATGTTGATCTACCCCAGGATATTTTGAGCTTAATCCAACATTTAGAAAACTTGATACACCCAAGCAAAAAAGGCTTTGTTTAATCTATTGAAATGAGCACACATAGAACAATTCTCTCCCATATAACCAAGGATGGTTTTATATATCGTACAAGTTCTCATAATTTTGGAATGTTTTGTGTCTTTTATGCTGTTTATTTGCCCTTTTCAATATATATTTTTTTAAGCTTCCTTTTTTCCCCAGTGGTTCTGGCCTGTTGTTTATCTTCTCATAACTCTCATCACTCTTGAAAATGCATTTCTAGCCCAAAATGTTCTTCTGGTCATGCTGATGCCATATGTTCTTTGTAGGAAACCCAGGAGAAGTTCCCTGAACTTGGTGAAATTGAAATCTGGGAAGAACTGGGTAGCGGGGAAGAACAAGGAAGCACCACAGACTGTGATGATGAAGATGGCTGCCAAAGTTCAGGGGATGGTGAAGAGCATGACTGTAAGCACAAGAGTCTTCTTTTCTTTACATAAACAGATTATATTCAGAGTTTAGCTCAGGACTTCTTGTTTAAGAAACATTCAAAGAGATTTCCAAAACCATAGAGTACTGTTAAACAATCTGAATTCAAGCTGCACCTTTCTCTTATAATCTATTTGATACATCTGGGATTTGGGAGAAGTGAGGAGTAATTATTTATTTTTTTTATTTTGTGTATAAAGTACAAATGTTTCTAAATAGAAATTTTAGGTACAAGCTTCCTTTTAAAACATAAAATAACTTTGTATTTAGAGGTTTTACTGTAAATCCACACTGGGAAGGAAGGCTACAAATGAGTTAGAGGGAGCTCCCATTTAATTTAAAATACTCTAACTTATTCTGTGGGATAGATTTCAGATATAAACAGATATTGTGTACCTACGCTTCTACAAGAGTACTTTTGAAAAAGGTGTGTTGTTACAACAGTGTAAAAGGTATGTTGGTAGAGGTCTGTAACATTATCAATCTAACAAATTAGTCGAAATACCCAATCAGGTGATCTTGAGTCTATCAGCATAATTTCCAGACAAATATAATACTAGAAAAGAATAGCCTGACCAGCTACAGTTTAGAAATCCGATTTATCGATACTTTTTCGAAGTGGCTCTTTCCAGTAATGCTAAAATCTGCTCATCTGGGTTACAGACTAGCTATTGAGGATCTACTATGAGGATTTATGAACTATTTTTAAAAAGCTCATGGTAATATGATATTTTTCTGCAAAAGGTATAAAAGCTATGACTGATAAAACACCATAAAATGTCACTCTATTAAAACTTTTTTAGTCACTGTCAACTCTGTTCTAAGACCCCATTTCTATATTGAATGTTTTCAAATTATCAACTGTATTACAACTCTGACAGGACTGTTTCATGTGTCTAATTCCTTACCCCCCATAGTAATAAGGTGGGTTACTGCACAGTTGCCTATCTGTTTAGTTTTAAGTACTACGATAACTTTGAAAACCCAGTGTAAATGTGTTACTGTGCAATTTTCCTCTTCTATATTTTCTTTTCTTTTTTTCTTTTTTTTACAATGGACTGAAATTATTCAATTCAATTCAGTTTATGTATATAGGGCCAAAAGGCAATTTACAGTTCACCAGATCATACAGTCAAATTGATTCAGTTTTCTATCTATGGAAAACCAGTTAATTGCATTGACTCATTGACTCGAATGCAATCCCTCACACTAAGCATGCTGGTAGGGACAGTTGAGAGGAAAAACTCCCTTTTAACAGGAAGAAACCTCCAGCAGAACCAGGCTCAGTGTGAGCAGCCATCTGCCGAGGCCGACTGGGGTTCAAGGAGACTGAAGCAGAGACACAAAAAGCAGCTATAAAAGGTGGCCCCGTCCAGGAAACACACAGCCAGGCAGACGAGCTCCGAGCCAGCTCCCATGTCAGAGGAGGAAGAGAGCACATCCAGCCCGTCACAGTCAGAGAAACAGGATTACACTGGAAAAACAGGCAGATCTCCAAAATCTATAAACAAAGGTGGCAGCAGCACAGCTGATATTTCTCTCCAGCATGGTGTCACAGCCAAACAGGAAAAGATGAGGGAAAGCTACTATGATAAAAAGCAGAGAGAGCATAACGTTAGAGATTAAATTAACAAATTCTGCAGAGTGGGAGAATATAGATTGAATGAAGCAGAATGATGAAATAGGGGTCCCTATGTTCTCCATAAGTCTAAGCCTATAGCAGCATAACTATAGAGATAGCTCTGGATAACCTGAGCCATTCTAACTATAAGCTTTATCAAAAGGGAAAGTTTTAAGCCTACCCTTAAAAGTAGAAAGGGTGTCTGCCTCACGGACTAAAACTGGTAGTTGGTTCCACAGGAGAGGAGCCTGATAACAAAGAGATCTGCCTCCCATTCTACTTTTAGAAATTCTAGGAACCACTAGTAAACCTGATGATTGGGAGCAAAGTGCTCTATTAGTAAACATAAGATCTCTGATATAAGATGAAGATTAGCCATTTAAGGCTTTATATGTGAGAAGAAGGATTTTAAATTCTATTCTCGATTTAACAGGAATCCAATGAAGAGAAGCCAGGATAGGAGAGATATGATCTCTCTTTTTAATTTTCATCAGAACTCTGGCTGCAGCATTTTGGATCAGCTGAAGGCTTTTCATTACAGTTTGTGGACTTCCTGATGTTAAATAATTACAATAGTCCATGAAGTAACAAATGCTTGGACTAGTTTCTCAGTATCACCCCTGGACAGGATATTACTAATTTTTGCAATATTACGCAGATGAAAGAAGGAAATTCTGAAAACCTCTTTGATATGGGATTTAAATGACAGGTCCTGATCAAAAATAACACCAAGACTTTTTACTTTATTATCTGAAGTCAGTTTAATCCCATCCAAATGAAGTGACTGACTAATCAGCTTATTTTTCAAAGACTATGTTCCAAAGACTATAAATTCTGTTTTGTCTGCATTCAGAAGCAGAAACTGAAGAGTCATCCAGGTTTTTATGTCTACAAGACATGCCTATGTAATGGGTTAGCTTCATCTGAATTTATAGACAGATATGGCTGGGTATCATCAGTATAACAGTGGAAATTAATCCCATGCTGTCTAATAACTCTTCATATTGGGAGCACATACATAGTAAAGAGAATTGGTCCTAGCACTGATCCCTGTGGTACTACACAGGTGACTTTTGAGCATGAGGAAGATTTTTCATTAACGTGAACAAACTGAAATCGATCAGTTTCCTGACACTACTTCCTGTATGATCTTGTCTGAAAGGCCCATTCAGGAGGAGGCTCACAGAAGAGGTTTGTCTCCACCCAGCCTGTCAAAACACATTTTATTTCACACGAGGAGAAAGTCCTTTGGCAGAAAACAGATCAGGAACTGGCAAAACTAAACACAGGGAACCCTAGAGTTAGTTTCGCTAAGACTCTTGAATAATCTGACACCAAAGGCTGGGGTCCTGAGGCTTAAGTAGCAGCAGGAACGGGTGGATGTGATAAGAGCTAATGAGCAAAGGCCCGGAGCAAAGCAGAGGAGAGCAACAAGGCAAAAACCCATCCTAAAGGTGCCAAGATCATAATAGAAGCAGCATTTTCTTATGCATGTGTGATTTAGTTAAGCAGTGGTAGATAAACCATGTGCAGAAACAGTTTAACATACATGTGAGTATGTTTATTTGCTCGTTGGTATTTTGATATAAATGTCATGCCATGCTTGAGTTTTTCTCTAGCTTTTAGCAGCAGGCCACACATCAGGGGTTTTATTTGTTTCGTAGACACAAATCAGGATTTTCACACCTACAGTCTCTTTCAGGCGTCTGAAAGTCCCAAAAATACTCTGCACTGTGGTGCCTTTCTCAGTTGATCAGTCTGGCAAAGGATTTTAACCAATTGACGTATCTGTCAAACAACACCACTGTTTCTGATTTTTCGGCATTGGCTTGGTTATCATTATTTCAAGCTAAAAGTTGGGCTTGCTTTCCTACAGCAGATTAGCTTTTTTATTTTGGCGATAATGGTAGAAATTATGTTCTTTTGGCTTAGTAAAGTTTGAAGACATTTTCTTGAGATTCAGCACTCTAAAAGTCCATGTCATAATGGACTTTTCTCTAACTATACCATCCTTTTTTGTTACAAGAAAAAAAAACCTTGTTAACAGTTCTAATCTACAAAGAAAAGATTGATTTATCACACATAACTCAGAAAGGATTGATTGCTTATTTAAAAAAAATAGGATATCTATTTATGGAATTGCTTAAATATTAATTTTCTACCATACTTAACAGAAATATATATTTTCATATAAAATATTTCTCTCTATAAGAATGAGTAGTATGACTGTCTGCTTTAATCCCTGTTTGATCTTAACTGTGATCTTACTTGTCTTGCCAGGGGACACGCTGTTGTAATGTGTGCCAGCTAAACAAGGTCTGGTCATGTTCAAACCACCATTTTGACAATCATGGTAGAGAGGAAAGATCGGCAAGTCTTTAATGAAACGTATTATCCCTCTTCTCTGAGTCTATGAGTGCCTCTTCTGTGGTACATTTTGTGGCGTGATCAGGGCTTATTAACTGCATTATCCATGGGAAAATTTACAATGCAGCTTTCAAAGGGGCTATTCATTTGTAGATGGCTCATTACACATTAATCTCTAAAACACTTTTCATGGTATTTCAGACCACTATCTCTCTATTAGAAAAAAGAGATTTTTTAAATGTTGATTCATCAAGATTTTTTTTCCTTCCTTTCTCATGGGTAAAACAGTCCTGTCTGAGTTTTTTTTTACAAATCTGTGAAAAAAAAGCAAAAAATGCTCATTGCAGGACATTTCCTAAAGAGATTCCAGGCAATTATCAAAGTTTAAGAAAATTAAATTACAAGGTGTTGCCAATTTGTTGTACATGAATTGGCCAAAAGGTTCACATGTGGAAATTGCCTAAAACAATACCAATTTATTGCATATGTAGTAGAAAAATAATATGCAATCAATTAACTACTAAATAATAATGAATTTGAACATCCAGTTCAACAGTTTTTCCAGGGAGAACAGGGGCCAATTATTTAAAGTGTTCTCAAAGGCGTCAGCCAGATCCAGAAACCTGAGCACTAAACCGTCAGTCCAGCCAGGACTTCGGGCTCAACGAAAGGTGGATGCTTATATCCCCTATGCCAATGTTCTATGTGTCAGGTGTTGAAGACCATATCAGATTTCTTCTGTTTTTTTTTTTGTTGTTGTTTTTTTTTTTTTTACAAGCTGGCATTCTCTTGGGTTAGGCATTTTGCTTTAAGTTATTTGTTGGGGTGGGGGCAATCCTTAGAACTGTCACAGTCTTACAGCATCTTTTCATTTCCAAATCTACTTCTGTGATGCCACCAAGAGGGCAAAGACAAACTTGAAGGAACGTGGCATATTTGAAACACAACATTACATATAAGCTTTCTGCTATTTAATAATGATTATCATTTT